TGCACACACACAGATTCTCTTTTCCCATCTAAGCTCACGGAAAGGAGTGGGACACAGTAATTTGACTATGTGATGGTTTACCTACTCCTTTTGAGAAGGAGAGTCTTAGCGACACTACCAAGTCCCCGTCCCTGGGACAGGAAGCACCCTGAGTCATTTAGGTCACCCTTCAAATGTTTTATCCTTTCAGTTGTTGAAAAATACCATGCACATAGAAAAGAAGTTCTTTTATCTTTCAACAGCACTTTGGGGCATACCTATAGGAGATTCGCTCCTCTAGAACTTAGTCATCTTGTTTTTGCTTTTCACACTTTTGGTGGCTTCTTATAGGGTATGAATGTGTGTTTCGTCTCATTTTGACTCTGTCTCCAAGAATGGTTCCTCTCTGTAAGTTAAAATGGTAATGAATTCTTACAAAGATCTGACTTTCTACTGCAAAGTGATCAAAGGACTATTTAAAACTGTTTTACTTCTTCTGCTAGTTTCTCATCCCTAATGTTATTGCCGGAAACATGTGATGTAGGTCACATTCCTCATGGCTTTCTGAAAAGGGTTCTCGGGTTTGAGAGAAATGGGTGGGTGTCTTCCTTTGGGGTTACAAGAGGCACATCCACCCATCTAGGCACAACAGAAATGTGTTTCGCGGTATCAGAATGGTTTAGAGCTTCGTCCGAATGCAGGACTGACTCATGTATTAGTTATCTATTGCTGCATAACAAACCACCCCACAATTTCGTGGCTTAACACAACAAACAGTTGTTATCTCAGACTTTCCGTGGGTCAGGAATGCAGGAGCTGCTTAGCCGAATGCTTGTGGCTCCGGGACTCTCACGAGGTTGCAGTCCAGATGGTGGCGGGGGCTGCAGTCATCTGAGGGTTCCGCCGGGGCTGAAGACCTTCTCCCGAGGTGGCTCATTCCCACGGCTGTTGGCAGGAGACCTCGGCACTTTGACACACGGCTCGGTCCATAGGGCTGCTCGAATGTGCCCAGGATGTGGCATCTGGCTTCCCCCAGATAGCAACCAGGAAGCCACAATGCCTTGTATATCCTACTCAGGGATGTCACATACAGTCACTTCTGTCGCATTCTATCCATCAGAAGTGAGTCACTGAGTACCGCCCACAACTATAGGGAGGAAAAATCGGGCTCCACCCTTTGAAGGGAGGAGTATCAAGGAACTTGTGGACATATTTAAAAACCACCACAGGCGGTAAATAAGTTAATTGAATCCAATCGAGCGTTGAGGCAACATGGGCGGTAACCATGTACTTCCCTCTCCTCCAATCAAATGACAGAGTGTTAGGACAGAAGCAGCATGGGATTTACCTTGAACTTGGGACCCGAGATTGAGAAAATAATTCCACCTGAAGGGTACGTATGGCCTTGGAGGCTTCGGTTGTCATAGTAACTATAAACAGGATTAACCGGGCTCTGTTGGGGTCTGTCTGGGGTGTAAGCAAATTCTCCCTGGAGCTTTGTAGGGCCCGTACCCTGCATCCCGGCCTCCGATTTCTAGCTGGCCACAAATATTATCTATAGAGCATGAGGAACCGTCGACCATCGTCAAAGATTCCCAAGAAGGCAGAATCAGGACTCTCATACAAATGTAAAATGAAGTCGTGTCCAAGATCTTATGTAACTCATTAGTTAAATGAAGGAATGGGCGAGATATTCCAACCCATTTAAAGGCAAATTTCAAGAACAGAAACCTGTATAGATAGGGAATATTGAAATACGTTTGCAAATGGCTGCAAACCCGGCTTTTGGGGTGGGGGTGGGGGTGGTCCCTTTCCTAGGTGGGAAGTTTCTGTGCTTATTTGTAGGCGAGAAGGCAAGTATTCACAGTGTTATTAAGTCTCCACACCTTCTTCAGTTGTAAAATAGCCTGGTCGGAGACAAAGGGTCATATCCCAGTAGGTTTCGACAACCCCACCCACCTCCCTAGGCTCCATTCCAGTGAAAGAATAGCCAGTAATCTCTTGCTTCCTCCAAACCCTTAAATTTGTCTTTACCTCGAGTAACCTCAACACCCTTGAGAGGCCCAAACAGGGTCCCCAGAGGGAGTTCTCTTAACCTTGGGAAGGTTGAGAATGAACAGGGGATAGATTAAATCAACCGAACGTACTGTAGTAATATTTGGGTGTTAAGTTCAGGAACAATCCGCGTGTGCCATTTACCTCGTAATGTTTATGTAAACTTGGGAGTTAGTAAAGAATTCGCCTTATGATTCCAACTTGAAATTGTACAATAGACTTTAGGCCAGCAGTTTTCAGGGAAAGGGAATTCAGATTTGACTCAGAAAGCAGAGTGGCAATTGTTTAAGACAACTGGAGCTTCGCGGGGCACCTGGGTGGCTCGGTCGGTTGAGCATCTGACTTTGG